ATAATCTTCGCTTCGACGATGAAATTCTGTGCACGTACAGTCCCGTTCGACCGAAACCGACGTCTTAGTCGAGAGTGTATGTACATTAATCTGACAAAGAAGCTGCTTTCCATATTATCGCGATTTATATCGACTGTCTCACGGTGGAGCGTGCGGCTATATTTTCTCACTTAATTCATTTCGCGGGGATGAAGATAAAACTTTGGCGACGAGGAGCTACACCGATTTTCTTCCAGACTAATGACATTAATACCACCCTCCACATCCTGAACTCCTTGTTCCGGCGATCCTTGTTCAGGGATTTTCAGTGGCATATTTCTTCAGTAAAACAGAGAGCGTGTTTGATATTAAAAAAATAAATTTTTATAGAAAAAAAAATTAACATATAAAAGTATTATACAAAACTTATCATTATTATAAAGATATTTATTTTATTTTAGTTTACTTCTTCTCTCTTTTTCTCTTTCTCTCTTTCTAATATAAACTTTCATTTATTATAGCAGTTATAATTTCTATAATATTGTAATAATTCTCGTTATAAGTTATTTTTTACGTGTTATAATACAAGATACATATAAATAATTTTTAATTTTTAATTAGAATAATTCTATTCTCTTTTAATTTTCAAATAATCTTACTTGTACATATTTTTTATTAATTAATTAAATACTTATGATATAAATATATATATATATATATATATATTAATTTTCTTGACATATTTTTTATATGTGAAACATGTTTCTAAATCTGCCTTTGAGGATTCTTTCTCGAGAATTCTTTTGCGAGAGAATTCTTTCTTGAACCTTGCATATATATAGAGAGAGAGAGAGATAGTGAGTAAGAAAGAAAACCGCGGAGAAGGTCCGCGCGCATTTGCATGAAGCTGCCATAAGCGATTTTCCGTCGCTCTTTATATAAGCACTAAATTCAGTATTATGATCGCGTTCTCCTCCTTCTCCCTTTTCATTTCATTCTGTTAAATAGGACATGTATAATAGCCTGCCGGCAAAAAGTGCGGTACATATAATATGGAAAGAGAAACTCTCGCTCAGGTATTGCGCGAGTGGACTTGTACGTGACCTTGGAGAATTAATGGTATCCAATGTAACGTCGAAAATTATTTTCGACCATCCAATATCCAATATCGTCGAAAAGAAATATACGAGTGCGCCTCGATCACCTTCGATCCATCGACTCTTTATAAAAAGTTAAGCTTTTGGCGTCAAAATCTTCCGTAAAAATATTTAAAATTGATGCGATTGTACGGATGATAACGAGAGTTACATATAATGTAATAATAAATCATATTTAACAATGTGTGAATTTTTTCACACATTCTTTCAACTACCATACATACACTTGCTATTATTGCTATTACTATCAGTTTTAAGATGGCTAATTAATAATTATTAATAATTATTAATTTAGAATACGTGAGATTTAGCTATAATTAAATATAACAGATAGATATAATTAGATATAATTATATATAACAGATATTAATTATGCGAAATCGATTGATAAAAATATTTGATGTTTATTATTGAACTTTGTTAATTATGTGATAATAAAATTTTAACGCACAAATTATAATCGATTTCTTTTTGCAACTACGAAAGTTTTTCCGATGAGATTTTAAGATAATTAAATTTCTACTAAAAGTAAAATTACACTTTTTAATTCGGTCTAACAAGAACAATTTGACTATATTGATTTTCAATGGCAAGTTTCGTCTAGGAACAATATTAAAATTCCTTAATTAATGGCGAAACGGGTGAATAAAATTTAACGTTACAGCGTTGAAACAATACAAACAATCCGGAATCAAAGATACACATTATTAAGCTCTCCGGCGTTCAGTTTTCCCACCAAATATCGATACAACGATTTTATGAGAAAAGAATAAAACTATCCAATTCCATTTCAACTTTGATCTTACCCGCAGAAAATTTTTCATCGGAAACTTTTCCAATCTTCTATCAGTATTTTCGTTCCGTTCTTTAATCGGTCACAAGTTTTCTAGTGAACTCAGCCATCACTAGTAATACCCGATTCTTATTTCCGATTGCCATTCTTCTGGCGATATTAATTCTTCAAATTTATTAAGTATATCGAGAGATTCTTATTTAATATATATTCTTATATATATTATATTATAGAAAATCATTAAGGATTTATATATTAAGGATTTAAATATTAATTATTAAGGGTTTAATTTTAATAGCAATTGTAATATAAAATTAACGTCACCATAATTAATTACCTTTAATATTTTATTAATTGATACCTGTCTATAATAGGACTAAAAATAAAGTTTACATCTTATTTTTAAATATTGTACCATATAATGTAATATTTTAATGATAATTTAAAATTTTTAATATTAGGAAAATTTAGTAAATATCTTGGAGAAAAAGTTAAAGCTTTTACAAAACAAAAGTGCTAAGAAAAGGAGAGGCAAATCTGTTTCTTTGAGACGATAGAAAAATTCGTAAGACGTTTTAATGGTCTCCAGGAAAGCCGGTGTTCTGATTAAATCGCCTTTCACGAACCAGCCGGTACTACTATTATAAAAGTTGTAACAGCTTTATTACGGCCGCTCGGCTGGAAACGGAAGAATTTTTAATTTCGTAATCGTACAAAGACGATGGCTTTTGAGTTTAAGACTTGAACGAATAATCAGCGTCTTTCTTTGTGGATGTGACATCGCTTCTGTTCCTCAACAAGATTGAATCTTGAATTCAAAAGTTTGATCATTTAGTTTTCTTAAACAGTTATGTCTAAAGTTTCGCTATCGATGCGTTTCTTATTTTATTTCTTATCCCGAGACAACATAACGAGAGAGTTTGTTAAATTCCTCATATTTAATGTAAAAGATTTCTATGAATGCAAATCAACTCAACGAGTAATAAATGTAGGAGACGATTGCAATGTCACATGAATTTTTTAATTAGATCGATTTCTAGACATCTCGCGATTCATATTCGTAAATACGTGCAAGTATCTTTCCTGATAATATTTTAATAATAAATAAAATGAATAAAAATGTGGAGATAGTTAAATATTATAACTGCGATAAAGATTAACAAAAATATATTGATAGATTAAAATTAATAGAGATTGAAGAACACAATACTTGTCGTTATAATAGAAAAGTGGATGCACGATGTGAAAAGGCGAAATATCGAAGAAGAAAGATCATCTCGAGCATCTCGAAAGATGCTCGGGAAGTAACGCTCGATCCAGATTGTGCAATCTCTCTATTTTGGCTTTCTTATGGCCAGATCTTGGCTTTGTTCCCGAATTGGGAATGTCCTTCAGTCGGCAGCAAAATGGACATCTCTATGACGTATATTTATTTCTAATGTTAATAGCGTGAGAGTGAAAAATTATTAGTTATTTCCATCATATTAATCATCAATGTTGAAATAAAAGCGATCGCACGATTCAACATGTTCGTGAAATTTTGTTCGGATTTCCTTCAAAGCTTAAAGAAAACTTTACTTATTTTATTGGCTTCCGACAATGCAATAAATTATATGCCTTGAATTATATGGCCGTTTCGTTATATGCGAAGTCGAGAGATTTCGCGCGCTTTATCGCGCGAATCTCGCCGATTGCTGCCAAAACTCGGTAATATTATCACTCGAATTTACGTCCAAATCATGGCACATTAATTCTTCAATATCATTTGGTAGGACAGCTGAGAAATCCATAAAGAGAGTCTCTGTTTAGTTATTTCGTTTGAACAAACTTCGAAGCATTATCATTTTGCGCAATGGGATGTTTATTGATGTGCTAGATCTATCTTTTGTTTTATTCATTCTTATACTTTATGATTGCTGAATTAATATTGCAATCCATTATGTTAATGCGAAATTTTCATCAATAGTCAAGTTTTATTTTAAATAATTTTAATAATTAGTCATTTGAATAGTCTCTTTAAAAGCGTGTTTAATTTAAATTGCAAAAAAATTTGCAATTTAATCGATATAATATATTTTTTAACGAGTCAACAGACTCGTCATAATGTGACTTATCACAAAAAAATAAACGATGTGTCTGTTATTCGTTTATTGCATCTGTCCGTTAATGACTTATCTACTCGGTCGCCGCGAATCGTGGCGACTGACTTTACGGAGTTTCTTCTCGCCTTCTCGTTGCGGACAGACAGTTCGGTTCAATAATGTGTGCGCTACGAGATTAATTGACTTTGCCTCGGACTTAGGACTCGACATATTCGCTCAACTGGCAATGCTAAATATTCCCGCATTTATCGACAACAAACGCGGCCTTATAATTGATCGAGCTTCATTCCGAGCGACTGGATGCAACATCATGTCATTTTCTTTGACAAGTGACTTACAACAATAATGACAATGAGAATTTTTATTAAGAAATTTATTTTTAAGGAGAAATTTATTTGCCTAACATTATTAAAAAATATATTTAAAAAAGTATTATATTAAATTCTTACTTGTGTTGATAATTAATAAATCAAAGTTGAATAAAAAAGAGTTACATATTTTATACATTTTGAATGTATAAGGAGTTTTTTTATTGTGAAATTTCTGTAAATATATTTTTGTTATTATATATATATATATATATATATATATATATATGTGTGTGTGTGTGTGTGTGTGTGTGTGTGTGTGTGTGTGTGTGTGTGTGTGTGTGTGTGTGTGGTGTGTGTGTGTGTGTGTGTGTGTGTGTGTGTGTGTGTGTGTGTGTGTAATAGCTCGTAATTTAATTTAATTTTCTTAAGCTAAAGAAATAATTAAACTAAATTAACAAGTTAGGCTCAATGCTTTGGAAAGAAAATACCGAATTTAAGAGATGAAAATCAATTCATCATTTCTTCGAGGATACAAACGATCTTTACTTAATTTAGTTTTTGCGAATTAATGTAAATATAAATAATAAAAGTACATTCGCTATGAAATTTTTCAGATAATAAAGTCTAACGTGTAAAAAATATTGTCGGCTTTTTTCAGTCCGCCGACGTTCAAAACAGCTACGCCGACATCGCGCACGCAATTGAAGCTACAATTGATGCGGGAACAGCTGCAAGAGCAGGAGAGACGACAAGCGGAATTTCGGCAGAGCTTGCAACAGCAGAGACCAGCTGCCGCACCGCCTAGACCGGTGCCGCCTACATCTTTGCCCACCATCGGCGTGGATGTACCACCGCAAGTATTACAAGTATGTGCTGCTATTGCTCGATTTATACAATCGATGCTAAATTGCTCGCCCACGAGAATCAAATCAAACGATATTATGAGATTGCCTTGTACAAGATAATATTGAACATATTAAATTTGCAGCTAGCGTTATATTATTGCATGATTATTTGCTTTCTTCGTGTGCAAACAATTAAAATTATACAATAATATATACAATACATATAATATAATATATTATATATATATATATATATATATAACATAATATATATTATATTATATTAAATATTTTACGTTAATTATCTAAATTATACATGATATATAATTTTTTTAATAATATTTATTGCATGTATTTTGTTTGCTTCTTTTGTTTGCTTTCTCTTGCTTTCTTTTTTAATATTTTTTTATATTTAATGTTAAGTAAAGCTTTATATTAAAACTAGAGTTTGTGCTAGGCTTCGTATTAAGTACCAAAGTCTAGTTTCAAGTCCAATGCCGATAGTCTTCCCGATGGGTAGTATCTTGTTATCCAAGTAGTGGGATGGTCAAGCATCCGGTTACCGTCGTTTGCGTTTCCGTCGCTTAAAGCATTGTGCATATAGATATATGTACAGGAGGACGAGTAAAGATAACGATGCTATAGTTTCGAGGTTCTTGTAGTTTACTGTATTGTATTATAGTAAGGCGAGCCGAATTCTCTACAGCGTTGTTAATAGATCTATTCGATACATCGTGTCTATATTGTTAAACCTTTCAGAATAATGTCGAATAGTGAGAGAGGACACGGGAAGAGACGTAAGAGTCGCACGGTTTATCTTGCAATTAGCTCCACGCGCAATATGGTCACTGTGATTACAAATGTCCGATAGCTGCGATAATATCTTTATCACATAATGTTCTCACGCAAAACAATCTGTAAAGAACTTTGTTTTTTTTTAAATGTAAAAATGATATATGATATAATTCTAAAAAAATGTTTCAGAATAATAAATCTTATAATAGAATAATTCGGGGTAAATTCTTATAATTTTTTATTTTCTGTTTATATATGTTAAAACGGTACTTCTTGATCGATATAAATTTTTAATGTTATCCAAATATGTAATTTAAAGATATATCGCACATTCCATTTGTGAGAGTACATCTAAAGTAACATTGAAAGTTAATCAACATTAGTTTAAACTCTTTCTTTTTTTAGATTTTTATTTCGTATTAAAATATCAATCCAATGAAAACAAAACAAGGTTAATCAAAGTGTTTACAATTTCGTCTTACTTAAATTTTATTTTTAATATATCGACAACACATGCACAATTACAATGTGACGCATTTACTAAATAATTTCGGGAATCTGTAGGTGCGCACACTGTTGGAGAACCCGACGCGTTATCACGTGGTGCAGAAGCAGAAGAACCAGGTGCGCCAGTACCTGCACGAGTCGTTTCGCGGAGGCGAGGGTGGCGGCGGCAATGCGGTCCTCGGCGGCAGCGCCGATAGCGAGGGCGGCGGCAGGACGCCGGTCGACTCCGGGCCACCGCCCGTCCCGATGGTGGTGCAAAGTGCACCGCCCGGCCCGCAGCTGCATCACCCGAAGCCGCAGCATCCTCATCTCGCCTCGTACCCGCATGGCCCCGCGCTGCTGCCGCATCACCCCGGTAACCCCACGGTGGTCTCGGTGAGCCCGGACCCCGCCACCACCGGCACCATGTCCCCGGGTCTGTCCAGCGTCGCCACCAGCAACTCTGAGGTAAGTTCACATGTATGTGTGTGTGTATGTATTATGTGCACAGATTGCATGGTACAGCGCAGTGTTTCTCAAATCAGATAGCATGAAAATATTCAGTTTCTTTTCATTCTTTTTCTCGTTTAGAAATTTGTGTAAATTATAATGTAAACGTTAAATATATAAATTATATAAATTAAATTAAATTATATAAATAAGAATTTTTTTTAAAGAATTTAGATAAAAGATAAAAATTGATTTACTTGAGATCATTCATTTATTAATTCACTCGAGATTAAATTACTTGAGATCAAGTCAAGTAAAAAATTGAATTGCGATTGGAAAATTGATTTATCTTACGCTGTAGTTGTAACATGTGAGAGTGGTTTTCAAAGTTTAGAAATGCGTGAGTGTATTTCTATCGTGATGGTGCATGTTGCATTGAGATATGAGGAAAGCTATTTTTCTAAGTCGTTCCCGTTCATTTTATCCAATCTAAGTACGATTGAGTTTTCGATTGACGCTAACTGGTCTTATGTAATCCATCGGTTATCCCGCATCGCCGAGCGTGATGGATTTATTCTCTCTCGCTTGTTCAATAATTAATCACGGATGCTTTCAACATCGATTCTTGCGTAATCTCGCGAAATACGTATGAAAATAATTTCTCGGCGGGAGTCTACAATTTGTTGCGGTTTTCTTTAATCCGATTGCCGATTTTTCGCGATATCAAATTCCTCGTCGTCGAACGAGGTGCATGTTTTTTCTTTTCTTACAGTCGTCCTAAAAGAATCCGCAAACGCGAGAGATCCGCGCATGCATTTAGCACTATACGAAAGCACGTTTCATGACGCTGCAACATCCAAGTAGAATTCGCGGCACGCACGCGGTGCTAATTGCCGTCTAGGTTTGCAAATCGATCTGATTTGCGTCGCAAAGCAGATCCGTAAACCATCGCGAGGAGGAAACTGGGAAAGTAGGTCCCTGGAAGGCTTCGGTTCGTATTCTCACCACGAATTTAGCACCGTAGCTCTTCGATTACGAACCTTCGGTGACATACCACGGTGTGCACAACATATTATTTTTATATAACGAGCTATTTTTAGCGATGAAATGACGAATGAGAACGCGAGCATCTCCGCATTTATTTAAAAAAAACGTTTCCATTTAAAGTATGAAACTTTTTTTTTAATACGATTTAATCTATTTATAGAATCTATTTATAGAAGTCTAATATTAATATATTTATATAATATTATTTTTTTAATCCTGTTATATTTTATATTTTCAACATCATATCATTTTTGGTGAAAGAATGTTCACTTTTAAATGATAGTAGGTCAAAAAGTTGGAAATTATTTATTTTACTTTTTATATTTCAAACAGCAAAGTCAACGACAAATCAGATATATTAATATTAATATTCGAATAAAAATAAAACTTCGCTCTCTTCCTCTCTCAAAACGTCAAATGCTCTCCATCACGCGGACGCGGAAAAAATTTACCGCTAAAATCGGCCCTTTGCTTTTAAACCTTTGCTTGTACATACAACGTAATATTCCGCGGAAAACTTAGAATCAGCAAACTTTGATGCATCAAACGCGCATCGAGAAGAATTTTTGCATCACGTTTTCCAACTTGCTGTTGACGTAGAAATTTTTGTCGCGATTAATCTGCGCAACTTTCATCAAAAAGAGTTATAAAACCTTTGACGATAAGTACATGACGTTTAATACATATATTCGCAATATCTTTTTAACCCTCTTGCATCGCAAGTTATAAGTAATAATACGTATGAGACTTGTTACGAACATAATACCCGGTATATGATGCGTACGAGAAACGAGCTGGTGACTCGTTAACTCATCATCTTTACGATCTCGGGGCTCTTAATAAGACGAAATTGTTTTTGGTGACGATGATGTATGTACAAACACACATACACGTGGTACACATATGCACACGACATACACAAGCGACCGCATATCACGAACGGCCGCCTTTAAATTGATTCTTTGATCCGTCGAACCCGGTTGCAGAAGAGCTCACGTATACCGGGTGTCTCGAGCAATATTCTCGGCAAATGTTTATACGTATTTTTCTCATTAATCCATGCGGGAATTTCACACTTGCAATTTTTCCCCACGTTGATTAAACTCTTCCGCGTCGCGAACTTCTCGGAAATCGAAAAATGAGTTCAAGCTATATTTAGAAGGAAAAAACCCATTCTCTCTCAGAACACAGATACATGGAATAAAGTTACGATTATTTATGTAGGATATTCACGTTAAAGACGCAGCTTTTGAAGGAAAAGTAATTTATAATGAAGTTATATGGATAGATACATTTTCTTGCTTTTATAGATTATATTATTATTGATTATATATATTTCTTAAATTAAAAATACATAATATGACAATAGTATAATTTATTAAATGAATAACATTTTCGATCTATATATCTTTGGTAATAATTTATTATTTCAACCTTCTCGTTGACTTTTACTTCTCCCGACTCGCTTTCAAGAGATTTCAACACATACAGACTTAGATCGCAAATAATTCTATTCAATGATGGAAGTCTCGAGAAAAATAGCAGCGAGTTAATATTTGCGCTTCTTCAAACAGCTACGATCCCATTCGTCAGCTGATCCAGTGGCAGCCGGGCCTCCATTTTGAATAATGGATTAGACGCGCTCGTTTCGCGGAACAAAGTAGATATTTGCGGCATTCGTCGACAAGGGATAAAGTGCTTTTAGTCGGATACCTGCCTGTAACAATTTACGCGATGCATCCGTCGGCATATATCCTCGATTATTATGGACGTTCAGCGTCGCCGATACTGCCAGGATATCCAATATCTCTAGAGCCCTGCAAGATGAAATGAAATATTCTGCTTGGTGAGCGCACGATTACTTTCGACGGGTCTTGTGTACATAGCGCCGCAGAATCGACCAGCTTTATTTTAATGAGGTATTTTCAAAGGAGCTATTATTCGCGTCCACAGCCTTTAAATATTGGAGATAACTTTTCTTTTTCTTTACTTAACGTTATTTTAGTGTATTATAATTCGGATTTTATTATGATAAACACGCTGCGTATAAAGCATAATCGTCTTTTCATCAGGGAAGGAATGTACACATCGTAAATCTTGTTGGAAATACGGTATAAATCGAGAGCAAGTGCGGTCGCTTTTACTTTCGGCTCATTCGATTGCGCCATCCGAGACAGATAGCACCGAGCAGCGATTTCTTCTGCTTTGATATTCGGCTCGCATCCGCGAACATGAAGAAATTCTGGTCTCTGTTGAACAGTCGTAAAAACAATCGTAAAAGAGACGACGCATTTAGCATCCCTCGGTCGCGTTATCTTCGCGCATCTACAATTTTAACGATGCCTCTTGTTTGGGAAAGTATATTTCTGCAAGCATATTCGAGTGGATATTCCTTCCAGATTTTATCGCGTGTGAGGAACGATGATTTTAATGCGTGCGTTGCCAATCTTGTGACCGTTTGAATCCAATTAATCTTCGTTACACGATTCGTGTATCAAGTATGTGCTCGTTATTAATTTCCATCAAGGTTATTTTTGTAAAATTCAAGTTTTACAAACATCTGAATTTCTTATGACAATGAGAATATTATTTATATCTTCAATTTCTGCAACATTTACATATAATTGACGGTGCTACCGGAAATAGAATTTTTTTTGTTTTCTTATCAAGTTTTTAATACTTCTTCAAGCTTAGAATTTCTTAGAATTGTAAAGTCTTGACAATCGATGCATTATGGCGCAATCGATTGATCTGATATTCACAATATATGCAAGTTTTAAGCTCTTAATATCGTAGTTTGAATGGCTTAGGGTCTTAATATGACTCCGGTATTTGCACCTGTTGCAATGCAGAAATCTCATTTGTACGTTCGCATTTATACATAAAAGTTCCCCCTTGATATATATTCAACAGAATTCACTGTCTGAATTGTACAATTTACAGCAAGTTGCTAAATTAATTAATTTGTTTTGTTTCATATTAGCATATACGGATTTTTATTTTTAAAGACCAAGTTTAAGAAGACTTTGAGCAGAGTAAAATAAAAAAATATCTATCCATATTAATTAGAGTACAGATTTTAAAGAAAATAACTTCAAAATTCTTTTCTCTTTTTCCCTTCCCCCTTTCTCTCTTTCAAATAAATAAGATATCTGATAATTAACTTCTTAAAAAAAATAAAAATAAAAATTTAATTTTAAATGAATCAAATTATATAAATGCATTTTTCAAATAAAACCCTCGATGTTTCATTTCGTCCATTTTTATTTGACCGATCGTCGCGCGAAACAGCGAAGTCTATTATCAATTTATAGATAAAATATAAATACACATTGCTGGACGCGGAATCGATCGGCATAAATCTTTCATTGCGATCGAAATACATTCTGGTTTCCATAGCGCCAAGCGCATCGTCGACGAAGGCGGCTCGAAACGAAGAATCATAAATTAGCAACGCGGACATTTAGGCTCCGTTATATAATGGATATTTCCTCCCCGTTCGTTTCTCCTCGCGTCCGACAAACTCTAAATATTCCCTACCGCTATTCCTACCTTCTGCAGTATTTCAACCGATTGCTTGGACGACTCTAGTTTAACAAGTTCGCGCTTACCAAATATGAGATCTGCTTCTGTAACCAAACCGAATGTATCGTATTTGTAACGTGAACTCGGAATACGTAATGCCAGGTGAAAGAAAGAATCTAGATCTGCATTCGAGTATTTTTGGTGATCGTCTTGCTGATTTATATTTATCCAATAAAATAGAAATTCACACGTGGAAGAAAGGAAGGAAAGAAAGAGAGAAATATGTGCGATCATTATTTCAATTTTCTTTAAAATTTATTATCCTTTACAAATTACAAGAAAATGTGACATAATAGACATTGTTTATTCTGTAAATATTGAATATATTGAATACATTGAAAATTTATTATATAGCTTTTGTTATAAAATTATATATAATAATGTTA